CATGATTTGTCAAAGTATTTCTCCACTGGCGCCGATCCTCATCCATGGAGAAAAAAGAGAAAAGAAAAAAAACAAAAAACAAAGAACCGTTACTAATTCTTCAAAATTTTAAATCTTCCCACAACTAACAACTACTCTATCCTACTACTCCTAAATTCTAATAAGCCATGTCCATCACCATGGATTTTACTCATGCTTCTCTGCATCAATCTGCAAACCTCGCGTCCTAACCTTTATATGAAGCTGCATTGCCGCCGCCAACAACTTCACTCTTTGCGCCGGGATTAATATCGCCACCACGTTCAATATAGTTTCAGTCCTCAATAAGTCTGCACTTCTTACCACCGACTCCATTGACGATCTTAGTGTATTGAATGCTGCTTCTTCCTCTTCTCTCATGGTCTCCTCAGTTCCCAGTCGCCTTCCACGTTCTCTTGCCTTCTCCAGCAAGGCTGGTGCAGCCACACTCTCCTGAATCTTTGCCAGCTTGTCATCCAGCGCCCTCTCCTCCACCTTTGTCCCCTCAATTAGTCTACTCATTCGCTGCTTCTGATCTTCAGACAAGTCAGTAACAAAGACTGAGACTAGCTTGAATACTAGTGCGGGTTTGAAGCCAGCAACCCAGAGGAAAGCTCTCTCCAAGGAAGTAAACCAGGGAGGAGAGAAGACGAGGAAAATGTTGATTTGAGACATGCGGGATTTTTCTTCGTAGTATTGTTGGTAGTGAGAGAGGACTCGGGAGATGAGGTCTTCTAGATACTCCTCCCTCGACTCGCCCAAATGCTGCTGGGCGGAGAGGAGTTCGTCCAGGTAATGCTCCTGGCGCACAAGCCAACCTTCGAAAAATATATCGAATGAGGTGGGTGTTCCTCTTGTTGATGCTGATGTGCAATGAGTCATGGACGGAAAGGGTATAGAGCAAGTAAGAGCATAAGAGGCTGATGCCTTGAAAGAGAAGCAAATGACAAATGTACAGATAGATACGTCTGGAAGGTACCAATCTCTCACAAGCTGCTCTGCTGGTTCAGCCTTAACTCAGCCCATGGATTGGTGTCGGAGGAGGGAGAAAAAAAGAAGAAGACAGAGAAAATGCTTCTGAAAGGTGGTTGTGGATACAAGCCACCGAGTGGGATAGTTCTGAGGACAAGTGGGTTTTAATTGCTTGACAGGAAAGTATTCTCCATATCCTTCCAAAGAAAGCCTGATATGTTTGGAGAGAAGATAGCGTGATCACAAAGAGAGTGGAGTAGACATGCGTGTCTGGGTTTAACAATTCCTATTATCAGAAGGTAGGTGCTGCTAGACACCACCAACCTTAATTAGTCACAGAGAGAGAGAGAGAGAGAGAGAGAGAGACGGGGAAGCTAAGGTTGAAGATAGTGAATCGGTGAATTTTAATGAATATCCAAGCAGGATATTGAAATAAGAATCGTGGATGAGAAGTAAACGGGTGGACGTTTTGTTCCACTCGGTATAAGGCTTTGTCTAACCAGACCTCCACTTGTAATTGCTAGTTGAGTGACATATTTCCAAGTTGGCAGCTGGCTAACCTATAAGAAGCCAAGTCATCTCACTACCTTACATGGAAATAACCCAACTAAAGAATTCGCACTATTGTTGCTTCTGAACCTCCAAAGGTGAATATTCCACCTGATATTGCTCCCAGAGTTGATGAAAAGAGAGCTATAGATATGAACAAACAACCAAATATTAAGAATTGCTTTCTTGTTTTCGGGTTCTATGATGTCCATGGTGGTGCAGGTCGGTCAGCATCCCGCTCAAACTCCACTAATATAGCTAAGTGGCAACAGCTTTGACTCAACTTGATATTAACACTAGCTACTAGTTTTTGCTAGCGGCAAAATATGACCATAAAAAGTTATTTTAAATTACATTCAACCTAAAGGGCATCAACATTTTGTATTCCTCAAGTGCCTGATTGGTTGGACCAAAACCAATATATGAGATTAGATATGAGAATCATATTTTAGTTGAATAGTTATTACATCCATCTAATATACAGATATGTTCGAACTTTAACATGTGGGTCTTTTGTTACAGAACAATGGATAAAAAACTAAATGAGGTTAGATAGGTTAGGTACGTATCTAGTTCCAATGTCTGTCTCTGGATGTTAGATTCATTGTCGTAAGGCAGAATCAACTTGATCCGGGACTTTTGGCAAGCACAAGACGGTCCTATGGTGTCTCCGCGATTTATTCTTACAGTGCTCAGCTCTTAGATGCAGCCGTTATTTGCATTTACATGGCACCGAGTAAATATTTAGTAGATAATCGACTGGTGCAGCAGCAATCCCAAGTTGAAGGGTCCTTGGGAAATGTAATTTTGAACAGTTTTGAGTCCAAAAATAGAACTGCCAAGCAATGCTGTCAGCATCCTTTATGCAGCAGTCGGTGGTACAAGGCCCACGCTCAACTAGTTGCTGCTCCTTCACGCAAAATACAGACCGCCTATATGGGTATACACTCAGAGGAGAAGCTGCTTGTAATTAGTCCCCTTGTAAAGAAACCAATGAAGACAAGATTGCTTCTTATTATGAAAAAACAACTTTCAAACAATATTGAGATAATATATGCCATACAATTTCTGATCCCGGGTTTAGATCAGACAAACTTAGAGAAGCCTGCAGAGGCGAGGCCTAGAGCAGAACTGTCTTCCATTAGCTTTGACCACTGCCATCACTCCAGCAGTCATTCCAGCCCAAAGCACAGAAGATAGATATTGATGAGCATTTCGTCCCGCTGTAGAAAAATACGAGATAACAGAATCAAAAGAAATATAAACTTCATACTCCTTGGCCGAATTGAACTGAAAACGGGAACAATAATTTCTGATACCAAAATTTAAAAGACAACATCACCTTGCTGAAGTGTGACGGATGTCAATGTCAAACCTCCGATCAGCAAAGCTGATGCTACTGGGAGATACTGCAACATTTCAGAAAACCCGTATAGCATGTTACTAGGGGTTGTAGTAAAAAATTCCATTGAACAGTCGTCTGAAAAATTGACCCGGACTTCAACTATTTTCGGTATTTGATAATGTTGGTTTTGGACTACAAAGAGAGGAGAAAATTTGTGGAAAATTTTATATGAATTTACGCAGATCCAACACTTGAAATACAAAAATACCTCGAAGCTGTCCATGACAGTAGAAAATGAACCAGAAAAGAAATGATCCCTTGCTTGTATATGAAACATATCTAGAAGACCTAATACAAACTATAAAAGATTTTTTTAACTATCACAAGCAACTAACATCTATATAACCATTGGAAACTAAAAAACATTCCAGAAAACACAATTCTAGGAAGTTTGACCGCAAACAGTGTCAAACTGCTATAAGAAGAAACCAGATAAGCCAAAAGTAAGCTATGCCACACCCCATTTCCCCTCCCGTTTTCTTCTTAAACGCAAAAGCAAACACCTATTCGATGATGAAAAAGTCATCCAAATCAATGTCAACTAGTAAAGGATAGCTGACTCCATTAAGATGTCAAAAATAGTTCTTTTTCCTACCTTAAGTATATCCCCCTTTTGGTGACCGATAGTGGAAGGCAACGAAACAGATAACAGTAATAGTAAGTAGCAAAACATAATCTAGAATACATACAGCAAATGATTCAAATCCATTAAGCTGGAATGGAGAATTATTTCTGTTGACAGTGTAGCGGCCACTAATAAGGTCTAACGCATCCTGAAAAGATGTTTAATTTATTGTCACAAATTTCAGCTGTGTATTGAGCAGCCAATTTTGACATATTTGACAAAATAACATTTTAATAGCTGAAAGAGAAGAAGCAGCCTGCCTGTCGAACTCCATCATGGAAATTATTCAAATAATATCTTGAGACGGCACTCATTCCATCTTTGATTAGTCCACCTATTGTCTGTTTTCCGTATCTGCAACATTGGGCATCTAAATGCATCACCAAATGGGATCCAGGGGAAAAAATTATTGAAGACCGTATATTTCAAACTTCGTTACCTGACAAGATCCCCTTTTAGGGCATGGGTCCCAGCGTACTGAAGGCTTATTTCATCCCCTTGTTCAGCCCACACTAGCATGAGTAAGAGAAAAGTTCAAAATAAAGTAAAAGACAAAACAGGTAAGATTTGATTTAGAGAGGTGGTCAGAGAGAAATGTGAAAATTTAAGTACATGTTCTGAACTTGCTATAATCTTCGACAAAATTTGAAATGCACTCAATAGAAGTCAGCACCCCAACTCTTTGCAGTTGTGCATTCAGAGATTTCTGAGCCAGGTAACTCTGTTCCCATCAAGGGAGAAATGGAAAAAGAAAACCAAGTGACCTATAATAAGATATATGAATTACAGTATTTGACACCTTAAATTCAAAATATATATCAGGCTACATGAATACTTTGTCATAAGACAAGTGATACATACAGGTCTTGGAACAATCAAAACAACCCCTTTTCTACATACCTGCGTAACATTTGTACGATCAAGAGAGTCGATGCAGTTACATCTAATAATCCCTCTCTGTTCCTCTAGAATGTTTCTTTCTTCGTCTACGAGAAAGTATCTGCTAAGCTGAAACAAAAATGATTAAAAAACAGTATTATGGATAGCTAATGTCCCTAGATCATAGCATAATTATTCAACAAGAGTTATACAATAATGATCTTGCTAATTACCCCTGCTTTGCAAATTCCTCTGAGATTTGATCATAAAGAATTTGTAACTTATCAAAGTTTGAGTTGCCGCAAACATGATGAAAATCAAAAGGTACATATCTGCAATGAGTACAAAACAGTTTAGCTAAGAATACGGCCATTCTCTTACAAACATATCATTTCCATGGGAAAAAAAACGGGAAAGAAAAATTAGGAACATAGTTGTAACATGCAAGATATTAACATTCAAGCGGAGCAAGTAGTTGTCACGTCAAACGGCACTCAAGGACTAAGTTTCTTCCAGAAGTACATATTATGCACCCATATATCATTGGCAACCCATCAATTTTTCTTCGAGTTACCAAAACTTGCAACTAATAAGCACTTTATATGTTAGGGATTTAGAGAAAAATCTGAATTTTAACAACTGACATGTTGAACTTTTCAATTAAAATAATAAAAGATTCGTATATAACTAATGTATGTGATATACAAATGTATTGTACATGTGAAAAAATAAAATAAGAAATCATCATGAAGATAAACAGGAAAAATAAATGTTGTAATATTTCTTACGGGTTCATTTCTTCTTCATAAATAAAAATAATATAATGTTTATATAATTGTTAATAGAAAAAATATTTAAAATTTACCTTACTACTGGGACCTCACCAACGCACCACCAACCCTCTTTTTTGAATTACTATGTTGTTTAATATTTCCCCTCAAAAAAATTTCTGGTTATACACCTCATCACGCAACATCTTGGAATTCGAATCAACATCAACCAAAAGTTTTGCTTTTCTTTAGCGGGTGGAATCTATTAAGAGTTCCAAATTCTCTTTAAGTCTATTCATATGTGTTGATAAAGATTTTATATTAAATAAAATACTATATTATTTAGAGTTCTAATAATATAATTATATTTTATAATTAAAGTTCAAATAAAATAAAAATAACTAATCTATATATATTTTCTAAATGTAAACAAAATAAGAAATAAAAAAATTAAAAATTTATTTTCTCTAAAAATTTTCATGGTATCAGAGCGTCGGTAAAAAACACATTTGCAGGCATCAGTAAAAGTGCAGCCGTACATTCGCAGGCATCGGTAAAAAATGCAGCCGCACCTCCGAAAGCGCTAGTAATAATATACAACCGCACAACCATAAGTGCTGGTAAAAAGTTGTAGTCACACATTCTCAAGCGCCAGTAAAAAGGTGCAGCCACACATCTAGAGACGCTGGTAAAAATTTAAGCCGTACATCCAGAAATGCTAGTAAAAAATTATAGTCATACATCAATAAATGCAGGTAAAAAAAGCCACACTATTACCTTTTTCTACACACATTCAGAGATCTGTCCGGAGAAAACGAACCAAGCCAACTTTGAGCCGTTTTAGAGCTGAGTCTGAGCCATTCTAGAGCTGAGTCTAATCTGTTTTAGAACTAAACCCGAACCGTTTAGAACCGAACCAGATCTAGTTCAGTTTTTTTGGCTCCTTGGTGCAGATATGAGGTCCATCTTTCATTACTAGGTATTTGTTCTTCTTATTTTTAGCATTCTAAAATGATAGAAGCAAAAAAGTGAGCGTTACTAGCTTTGATAATCCTTCATTACAAATCAGTCCCGTAAAACTTGATGGAACTAATTATCTTACTTGGTTGAGATCTTATTTATTGTTCATCAAATTTAAAGGATTGTAGGGTTACATTATTGGTGAGATGAAGAAACCAAATGTTAGTAGTTTAGAATATAATAGATGGGACTCCAATAGCTCATTGGTAATGTTATGACTCATAAATTCCATGCAACCCTATATTGTCAGAACATATCTGTTGCTTAACACTCTCGAAAAAATATGAAATGCAGCATCTCTTACGTATTCACAGATGGGTAATGACGTCTAGATTTATGAATTCTGGAATAAAGTTCATAGCACAAATCAAGAAAAGATGACTATTTCTCAATATTTTTCTGAACTAAATGGATTATACGAGTTAGATTACTATCAAGATTTTTAAGCAGAGTGTCCTGCAGATGCAGTCAAATTTCAGAAATTAATAGAAAAAGAGCGAATTTATAATTTTTTAACTGGTTTGAACACCGAATATGATCAAATACGGGTCCAAGTGCTTGGTAAGGATCCTTTTCCTTCATTAGAACAAGCTTATGCTTATGTTCAGCAAGAAGAGAGTAGAAAAAATCCCATGCTTCACATTGCACCAGTTGAGAAAGCTGAATTAGTTGCTCAGTCTATTCAATCCAAAGATATATGTAAATGTGACTATTGTGGCAGGCCAAGACATTAGAGAAACTTGTTGGAAGTTGTATGAAAAACCAATTAGAGGTTGGGGAGGAATAAGAGGTAGAACCACAAGAGCTCAAGTAAATTTTGTTGAAGATAGGGAAACACCTGGTTCACCATCTATTTGAGCATTTTCCACAAAAAAAATTCAAAATCTGAAGTGCCTTCTGAGTCAACTTAACTCTCCATCAACTGTTGTCACATCAAATATGGTAAAATTAAGTATTGTTCATTCTATTTCCACTTCTGATAATTGGATCATAAACTCTGAAGCAAACAGACACATGACAAACTCTTCTAAAGAATTCTTAACCTATTCTTCTTTTACTGAAGGGGATAATGTCCGTATACCAGATGGGTCATATACCCTCGTGTCAGGAACAGATTCCATTAATTGTACTCCTACTATTACACTGTTTTCAGTTTTACATGCGGCTATTTTTTCTGATAATCTTTTATCTATTAGTGGCATAACTAGAGATCTCAACTGTAAAATTGAATTTTTTTCTTATTATTGCATCTTTCAGGATCTTCAAACTAGAAAGAGAATTGGCACTGGTAGACTGCAAGATGGCTTATATGTCTTGAATAGACATCTGAACTTAATTGAAAATCAAACAACCATTGGGAATAAAGAAGTCAATATGGAGATACTACAATGGCACCGACGATTGGGACATCCTTTTTTGTTTTAAAAAAATTATATCCTAAATTATTTAAAAGAACTTCTATTTAGTTTTTATTTTGTGATGCATGCGAACTTACTAAACATAAAACGAGCTCTTATTATTTAAGTAATAATACAAGTATTGATCTTTTTAAGACTATTCACTCTGATGTATGGGGACCTACTCAGAATACCTCTCTTTCTGATCATAAATGCTTTGTTACTTTTATTGACTATTGTATTAAATTAACATGAATTTATCTGTTAAAAGCAAAAAGTGATGTATTTTCATATTTTCAATCTTTCCACAAAATGATATGCACACAGTTTAGTGCTAAAGTTAAAATTCTGCGAACTGATAGTAGTACATAATATATGCATAGTGGGTTTCGTGCCTACTTGGAGTCAAATGAGATAATTCATCAAATAAGTTGTGCTTACAACAGTGAACAAAATAGGGTTGCTAAAAGAAAAAACAGACACATACTAGAGGTAACTCGGTCACTAATGTTCAGCATGAATCTATCAAAGAGTTACTGGGAAGATGCAGTTCTCTCAACTGTTTATCTTATCAATAGAATGTCTTTGCAGATCCTGAATTTTAAAAGTCCTAAGGAGGTTTTATAAGGAAAAAATTCCTACATTGTTTCCTGAAAAGTGGATATGTGTGCTTTATTCATGCTAGAATGTGAGTAAACTAGAACCTAAAGCTCTTAAGTGTATTTGTTGGATCGTCTTCTACCCAAAAAGACTATAAGTGTTATTATCCACCATCTAAAAAATACTTCGTAACTATGGATGTTACCTTTAAGAAGAATAAACCTTACTTCAATTCAAACCCAACACCTTTTCAGGGGGAGAGTAAGAATGAAGAAGTGATACCTAATTAGGTAATGATTGAGAATCATATTCAGATGAAGAATTCTATTACAGAAAGTCTTAATCAAGAAAATAATGTTGAATATCTAAATAAATCAGACTTAAAAAGGTATTCAAGGAGAGAGAAGTCTGAAAAAGTCATTATGCAGTATGTCCTAAGTCAAGAATTTTTTTTGATTTCAGAAGATACTGGTGAGTTATATTTCTCTTATGATTTATCAGATAAACCTATTGCTATTAGAAAGTGAACGAGAACTTGCACTAAGTACTCTATATCTAATTTTATTTTCTATAACTCTCTATCTCCCTCCTATAGAGTTTTTGTCTTGTCTGTTTCCTTTGTGTCTATTCGATAGGATTGGAGAGAAGCTCTAGGAGATCCGAAGTGGAGGAAAACCTTGATTGAAGAAATGAGAGTATTGACAAAAAATGAAACATAAAAACTTGTTTCACCTCCACAAGAAAAGAAGATAGTTGGTTGCAAATGGATATTCACTGTAAAACACAAAGCAGAACGATCGATCGAAATGTACAAAGCTAGATTGGTGGCTAAATGATTTACTCAGACCTATGGGATTGACTATCAGGAGA